ACTTCAGTAAAATCTATCCTTTGTTCATATCCTAAACATGACTCCACTGGGTTTCTTCCAGCTGCAAAAAGCAGTCTTTTATGTCAAAGTTAACATGACTGACCATATTTCTCAAAATTTCATTCATAATTAGCTCAGCAGTCATAGCGAGACCAAATTTCACACGACTGAGGCAGCTCATGCAGCGGCACTGAAACCAGCTGATGTTCATCTGAGTTTAAACTGGGTCCAGATAAAGATTTGCTCGATTCCTATCCCTTCTGCAAGCTGGTTTGGTATGAGAACTGTGAAACACACACAAACACGGCTAATGCACGTCAGAAGGGCAGGCATCACTTCCCTGCAACATGCTCCATTAATCCTTCTGTCTGTGAAGCTTCACATTGGCAAGATAGTGAAGATATGGAGGTTTAAACAGTTAAAGTTAATTAAAATACAGAAAAGTAATTACTAATATGTGAACTGTGTGGCTTTGTTTGCATTGCTAATGGCATGGGCACAAGGGGAGTGAGGCAGAGAAGACAACTGAGAGCCCACAGATCATGGGTCACATGTGGCTCATCAAACACCCGATGTGAGCCTGCATTTGAGGTGTGGGAAAGCACTGCAGGAGCCTGTGGAGTTACTCAGTTTGGGAGCCGTGCACAGCTGGCTGAACTGCCTGGGATGTGCCAGCAGTGTGCCACCAGCCTGAGAAAGCCTGTCCCCTTCAGCCCTGTCAGGGAGCTGCGACAGAGCTTCCACACCCTTGCCATTGCTTGGACTACAGAATGGGCAATGAGGCCAAGAACAGAGAAGGTTTTAACCTCAACAGGTGTGGCAAATGTTCTGGAACCCAGGTGTAGATGGTCTTGAAAAATTAGGAAAGAATCACTAGGCAAAAAAATCTAGTGTAAGACTAGAAAATAGGGACATCTAGAACACTCCAGAACTAGACCACCCCAGATCCAGGCTGCCAAACTCAACAAGATCTTCACTAACTGGGAAAGCAATATGAAGAAAAACCCAGCTGAGTGAGGCAGCTTGATTTCAGACAATATCTAACCAGTTTTAAACGGAATTAGTAAAAAAAAAGGGTCTAGGGAAACTAAGAAGAGCTCTGTAGACAGCACAAGGAGTTGCAAGAGTTGTAGAAATCCAAGGCTTTGCCCAGTGCAGTGAAAGACAAAAGTGAGGGAGAACATCACACTCTGTCAGCACCTGCCTGCCATGTCCACCAGCACAGTTTTCAGCAAATGAATATTGCAAAGAAGGTTACAAAGAAATACCAATTCCTAGCCCCTGCCCTCCCAGCCAAACAAAGCACAATTACAGGTAATTTCTGAACACACATATTCTAAACCCAGGTTAAATAGATCTCTCTTAATTCACAAGTGTTTTAGTGGAAGGGTGGGACCAAACATTTAGCAAGGTCCTGGTGCCTTTAGTGCTGCTTAGTTACTGAAGGTACAAACAGCGATTATTTTAATTTATTTTTCAGGTTCTCTGGAAAAAGAGAATCAAGAATTTGGAGAATAAAATATAGCAGCAATAAACACAGTAATTAAATCCATTATCTCCTTCAGTGATATTCAAAATGGCATCTTCCTTCTTGCATCTGCATGAACAATTACACCCAACCACGGACTCCTAACTGGCAATGATTTCTTTCTTAAACAACTAATGCAAATTTAGTAGCCAAATGCATCCGACTTTCTCAGAATCACTGAGAAATACCATGCTGTAGATGAGAGATGAGAATCTTGCTATCTACTCAACAGAGGTTTCTCTGGTAACAAAGTTAAATATTTCCAAAACAATTCTCTCTAAATATGGGTAGTACAATTTATTGGCGGTGTTTTCAAATTAGACAAAATAAGCACCAGTGCAACAGTCAGATACTGTTGTGCACAACACAGGGGATTTAATATGGAAAAATAGAGTGTGTATATCAGTAACAGTAAAAGAGGAATGATACTGCCATGATTCATCAACCTAAGATTTCCGACTAGCATTTACAACGAGCTTGATGCTAAAATTCTCAGGCCTTTCTTTGGAAAGTGCCCCTGAAATACTCTGAAGTGTGCTTTTTATAAATTGCACAGCATTTTAAAACACACTGCCCATATAAAGCCTTGAGACACAAAACTTCCAGTTATATAAAATCCAGCTAACACACGTAAAACCATATCAAGACGAACAAAATCAGCAAAACATTTAGAAGTTTTCACTGATATCACATTTGTGAGTGGGACATCTTGAATTTCAGCAGGTTTTTTAAAATAATTGGTGCTTTAATGAATACCACCTGCAGTGCTCACATTCTCTCTAGAATCAGGTTCTAGAAAGGTAGCACCTGGCACCAAGAAAGCTCATGAAGCTTTGCTGTGGTGTGTAAGTGGCTTGAAACATGCTAACCCAGCATGAGAACATGGCATCCTCATGTGCTGGCTTCTGGACTGTGCTCTAGACTCTTCTACAGAACCATCAGTCCAATAAGCCACTAAATTTGGTATTATGTAGTGCAAAAAGGACTCACTTCAACGGGATTAAGAACTCCCTGAAATACTCCCAGAACCAAGAGAATTAGTCCAAGTGACACAATCTCTGTCTCATTCTCCCTCCACCCACACAGGAGGATGTCCTTTCTTGTGGGCTGAAAATTCTGCATGCAGAGGGACCAAGATCTACAGAGGAGAGGAGCCAAAACACTGGGCAATGGTCCAGTGTTAAACTATAAATTCTACTGTAAGAATATCACAGGAGATGCCAGGTGCCTGCCCAATAAAATGGTGAGGGTCCCCTTGGTGCTTCAGACAAACCCCCAGAGCAGCAAAGTGATCACCCTCAGACTCTCAAGCTATTCAGACCTGGTGCAGTGTTCAAGCCTAAACCTTACCATGGTTATTATCAGAAAGCACTTTTGTACCTGAATATAGCTGAAGGTCTTCCAAGATAAAAGCTCCAGCTGCTGAGCTATCAGCTGGCAGCTACCCATCCATCCTCTTCCTCCTCCCTTGGCAGGGAGGAACAGTAGGAAAAGGAATGAACAGTGCCCTTGACACAACACATCTGGAAAAATCTCCCTCTAGATGTGGACTGCTATTCCAAATGACCACCCTGAATGGCAAAACCCTGCATGCTTTTGTGGGCAGAAAGATCAAAGCTCAAAGGACCAGCAAAACTGCTGAACAACAAAAAAAATGACTGTGTTTATTCAGGATAATAGGTAGTGAAAAAAGCCTCACTGGTTCACAAATTAAAAGGTGCTGGTCATCTGCTCAGACTGCCAGCCAGAGGAGATTACTGAGAATGCAAAGCTTAAGATTTCTCCTGCTGCTGAAGAAATTAAAAATGTAAAATTATCTGACATTTCCTTAGCCACAATCTTTCCCTGGTCAAATATAACAAGTTAGTATCAAGACCCTTTCATCATCAGGCTACAAAAAATGGGGTTTGCTCCACATCCTTGTAAGGGTTAAAACCACCATAGTGTTGCCCTTAGTGCTGCAAAGGCTCCCACTGGCAGATCTCCGTGAGCATAATCTGTTACAAGATGGGAAAGTATTTCTGAATAACAACCACTTTTTCAGCAATGTCGATTTCCATGCAGAAACCTTGGCACGTGCGAGAGAAAGGGCAGCAGATAATGAGATTTTGCTGACGTTTCATAATCACAAGGACAGACTCGGGCGTGAGTGAGAAAGAGCACTTGATTATCTTGTAAGGGCCAGACGTGATGCACAGGTTGGTCTGTCTGCTGCCACTGCCCTGCATCCCTGCTTGGCTGCCTCCTTTTCCTGCTCCCAGTCCCTCAGGAACTGCTCCAGTCATATCTGTCTGGCCTGAGCAGCCCAGTACGTCACCCTGCCTACCAGCAGGGAAAGTGCAGCGTATCCTGAAATCAGGGCATGCGGTCAAACACGCCCCATCAGCAGGCACGCTGTCTGAAGGGAACAGGGTTACCAGGCCACACATTTCACAACCTAGGTGGTAGGGATGATCCATTATTCCTCAAAGAAGGAAAAAACCCAGTGACTATCTGTCATCATTTCCCTCTCTCAGCACAATGGTATCACCTTCCACCGGGCTCAGATACGGGCAGAAGCAGCGTGTAACGTATATGGCTGCTGCCAAAACACATGCCAGGGCTGTGGAGCCATCTCTGGAGCACAGCAATCAATTGTGCTTGCTGCAGCAGCCCATCTGCTCTGCTCCCTCCCTGGCACGGCCACACACATGCTGTGCCCACGCTGCTGCAAAGCCCCAGCCACACCGACACCCTCCGACAAGCACAGAAATCAAACCACTTCAGCAACGGGCGTCTCTCCTCCCTGTACAGCAAGCAGCACATATAAAAACACATTAGAAGGCTGACACGGGTTAAAGGGAAACCTAAAATGTGTGCATTGCTGATGTGCTGCATCTATGATGTCATGCACATATAGCATTATACAGGCAATTCCACTTTAGTATTCATTTCCGACATAATCTGTGTAATTTAGCTGCACTGAATGACATGCAAATTGTAATCTAGCATCAAGCACTGCCTCCCATTCACTCCCCACAGAACGTTCACACAACCAGTGCCCTGGTACAGTCCATGACTGAACACAAAACACATCCGTGACAAGCAGCAATCCTCCCCAGCCCTCACACTTAGCACCTCCAGAAAGCACACAAAGAACACACCCCACAAACTCCATCTCCACCATCTCCCTCCTGTGAATCCCCCCTCGGTTCAAGGTTCAAGCAGGGGCCATGGGGAAGGCAGCACAGGCAAGCAGCACAGGCAGCCCCAGCCCTCAGCACCCCCATCAGCTCCATCACGCTGACAGAATTACACATGCCACTGTGTGCAATATAGAACATCCCACCACTGCAGACACATGTTGGCACACACACACACATGCACATCCCTTCCCTGCAATCCCATGCTATGTGCCCCACAAATCCTGCTGCACACTCAACACAGACATAAATTCTCGCATACACCGCCCCAGCATTCGGTGCCCGCTAACCTGTGTGTCAAATCCATTTTCTACCGAGCTACTCTTCCTCGCTGGGAGGCCGTCTCCCACGTTTTCTTGTCCGCTGGATGATTTGAGAGGAATCTGGCTGGAATACAATGGCTTCGTCACCTCCACCTTGTTCCCAAACTTCAGGTAGCAGGGCTGTGGGATGGTCCTGGCTGTCGGGACATGCAGGATTGGAGCAGCGCTGTGGACGGGTTTAGGTAGTCCCGATTTCATTTTGGAGGCTACCAGGATGGCTGGCATTTTCTCTTTCTGCTTTCCTAACACGTTTCTGTCAGCAGCAGCAACAGCAGAGACAGCAGGCAGGGAGAGAGAAAATGACACGTTGGGGAAGCTGCTCTGCTCTAAAGCAGCCTGGTTACTGCAGAGATCTCCAAAATCAGCTTAGAATTTAAAATCAACAATAAAACCAATTAAAAAAAAAACTAAAAAAAAAAAAAAGAAAAAAAGAAAAAAAAAAAAGAAGAAAAAACACACCACTTTCAGTCCAAAATATCTCCCAGCTTTATGCCAGCCTTCCACCTGTTTCCTCTAATTTTATTTTCAGTTCCTTACCACTGTCCTCTTTCCTATTTCTGCTATGTAACTTGCTCCTTCCTTTCTCTAGCTGACTCCTGCAATTTTCTTGCCTGGAAATGAAAGACTTTCACTCCATTATCTTGTCACTGCATCTCCAAAGTGAGGCAGCCTTTGGGGAAAAAAAAAAAAAAAAAAAAAAAAAAGGAACCTGCTGCTGCATATGCTTCCCCTTCCGTAAGCACTAGAGAGTGAGCGAGCAGGATTTCCAGCTTAAGATGTCCTTCTTCAGCCTTAGCCAAGAAGCAGATGTAGCTCAGTGTGTTAATGACTGATGCCCTTGGATACAAGCCTTAGAGAATCAAGCTCCTTAAGCCTAAATAGCTGTGAACAGGACAACGATGCCGGAGCAGAAGGAGAAACGTCCGCTGACAGCGATTTTTAAATCAAAATACATCAGCGGCCACAAAATTTCCCGGCTCCCCTAGTGCTGAGCACAAAAACCTGGAAGGGAGGGGGTAAAACCAAGCGGGATTAAAAATGAAAGCGGTTCAGCGCGGAGCGGGAAGGGAGAGCAGCAGGCACAG